GTTTGTATGAGTGTGTGTGTGTATAATGCAGATTGTTTGTTTGTATGAGTGTGTGTGTATATAATGCAGTGTGTTTTTGTATGAGTGTGTGTGTATAATGCAGATTGTTTGTATAAGTGTGTGTGTATATAATGCAGTGTGTGTGTTTGTATGAGTGTGTGTGTGTATAATTATAAAAATCACAGAATTTCATAGCCCCAAGTTTTACCCTCGACTTATCCACGAGGCATAGCATATTTCACAATTGTTGGTCACAAAACTGCACTCGACTTATACATGAGATCGACTTATACACGAGTATATACGGTACATAAAGAAACAGAACATCCCATACTGTGAAGCGGTCTGCATTGAGCAGAGTGCAAGAGAGGCATAGAATGTCAGTGGTCCTTAAAGGGGCACTGTGATTTCCCCAGTCTTTTTTTAGCATAATGTTTACTCAATGCCTATGTTTAACAAATATATATATATTTATTTTTTTTTAGGATGTGAAACATAACATTAAATAAAATCCACACCTCTTTTTCCTGTCACTGGGCGCTCTACATCTTAACTCACAGTCAATCATTGTTCTGAGTTCTGTTCTTTCGCACAATGTTTCTATTTCTCCTTCTCATTTGCAATATTTATCCTGACTTTGCCTTGTCTAAAAAAGATTTTGATATCATTTGCTAAATCTGTGGTATAAACAAAAAAGAAAATTAGATCTTTCATAGCAATATAAAAAATAAACTGGGAAGTGGCAGTTCCCCTAAGTGGTTAAGTCTATAAATGCAACAAAAAAATAGCGTATATAATTCTAATACTAACATTAAATATTATATATTATATAAACATTCTGCATATGGATTTTGTTGTAAGTATGATTTCCCCTCCCTGTGTTTAATAATTCCTATTTTTTTGAAATGTTGCAGAATTCTATAAAAGTGATGATGTCACCGAAATAAACAAAATGGTTTTCAGGTTCCCACATACAAGTCAAAAAACTCACAAAAACTGAAATGAATGATTATGTCAACAGTCCGAATCTTAAGTACGCTTTGTATTGGCATTGGTATTCACTAGCGCCAGATACTCTACCTTGGATAATCGCTGATGGACATTGATTTTGTCTTTGCCTTTCACAGCACAGCAAAATTAATGTGAACGTCAGGGTCAAATGAATCCCAGCGGTGTCCTATGCTCTGTGCTGAGAAGCACATTTCAAATACTAAAGAACTTAAAATCAACCGAGACCTATCATGCATTGTTACAATTAATGGATATGAATAGACACCGCCTGGGAATGCAATTTACCTTTGTATCAACTTTGGAGGTTAGAATCCTAAAACACTTGATTGTGCAATTTGATTTACCTTCTTTACAGCTCCTCTATATTAATTTATTGTACTGTATTCACTTGACAGATTTGATATGCCTTTCTCTGTCTGGCTCAAAGTACACGACTTTCTGCTTCCCAAGAGCGAGACAATATATTATTTAAATCTTGGGGACAAACAAGTATTTACTCGCTGAATAGATACTCCAGGCAATTCAAGAATAAAAATGCATATTATATCCCACTTGGCTGTACTGAACATGCACAAGCTATTTCCCGTTCATTCATATGTGTGTGGTAACACAGCTGTATAGGGGCTGTGCTTTTCCCATTCATTTAAAGAGTTACTCGAGCTCAATGATCACTTCAGTGTTTTGAAGTGGTCATGGTGCATGGATCATACTGAAGATATGGAAATGAGATATTTAATGTTGTTGCCAGAGGTGAAGTTAAACCACTTGCCGCATCATTAAATAGCTCATATGTTTAAATTAGCCAGCCTTGAATGAAAATACTTATTCCAAGGTACGTCTTATTTTTTTTTTGCAACAAAAAATCTATGTACATATGAGGTCTGTCCGGAAAGTATTCAGCCATAAATATGAAAAATAGAGAGATTTGTTGAAGAAGACGCCAAATGCAGGAAACATTGCATATAGGACAATGACACCTCAGTCCCCTTCAAAATCAGCACATTGTGACCTCACACAGTTCTCCCAGCGTCTCTTCCACTAATCAAAACGCTCTGCAAAATCCTTTGTTGGAATCGCCATCAGCTGCCTCGTCGTATTTAACTGAATCTCATCGAGAAAGCCTTCTGAATCATCTGAATAGTTTAGGTGGAGGAATGTTCAAGCTTTACGCTAAATTTTATGCAGGTTCGTTGCCCTATTCATTCAATCATTTTTCATGCAACAGTCACTTAGTACACATGTTCTCTCAATGGCGTCTAGTGCTCCCACTGACTAGTACAGTGAAGTCATTATTGTTCACGCATGCGCATTCCAGTCCACTTTCCTTTGCTGCCAGGTTACGTTGGTGTCACGCAAACCATTCTCATTATATATAACAATGGCTGGACTATTTTCAGACAGAGCTCGTATACATTACTAAAGTGAGAATGTTTTAAATAAGATTTGCGTAGATATCTGTAGCACCCAACCCAATCCATCCCGTATTTTAGTTTTGCTAATATTCTCAGTGGAACAGATAAGATTAATTTGCTCCCTAAATGCCAGTGGAAGTCTTTCGTCAGTGTTCGCACAGAAACCTGTGCGAAATGAGAGTGTTTTAAATTTGCATAGAAATCTGTAATAATTAACCCAATCTTTAAAGGACCACAATAGGCACCCAGACCATTTTAGCTCAATTAAGTGGTTTGGGTGCCAGGTCCCCCTATTGTCAACCCTGCAGCTGAAAGCATAGCAGTTTCAGAGAAACTGCTATGTTTACATTGAGTGTTAATCCAGCCTCTAGTGGCTGTCTCCCTGAGAGCCACTAGGGGCGCTTCCGTGATTGACACTGAGTAAATCACACTTATTTGACGCTGGACATCCTCACGGACCTCCAGCGTCAAAAAATATCCCCATAGAAAAACGCAATGCTTTCCTATGGGTGGGTTTGAATGCGCACGCGTCTCTGGCCGTGCACGCCCATTCGGCTCCACTCGGAGCCTGGCGCTGGATTAAGGTAAGCAAATAAATGGTGACTAGGGCTCTATAGTGTTAGGAATAGCCCTTGGACTACATTGGGGAACACTTTTTTTGTAAGTTAAGACACCACAGTTCATTTTATGTGGCAAAAGGATAAAAGTGATTTTTAAATCAAAAATCTCACAAAACCACTAATATGTTGCTCTGCTAATTCAAGAATCAAACAAGTTTTTTTTGTTTTTGTTTAGATTTTTAAGTAAAAAAAAAAATAAGGCCACAAATAACATTCTGCATATGTTGATGTAGGTACAGAGTTGACATTCTCAGCCAATCACAGCAGCCTATTCATGCTCGAACAGGCTATGCTGTTAATCCAATGTAAAAAATTGTGCAATGAGATTTATTTATTTATAGCAAGCGTATGGCTTATTTATCAGAAGCTTATTGCCTCCCAGAGTAACCTCTACCTCACATACCTGTATATAATATTTATTATACAAAAACGAATGGTCATACGTGGCAATCCATGGCAGGCAACAATATTAAAGGCATCAGGAAATTATTTTAAAGTCACATGTATTTCAGAGTTAAAGTAAATCCTTGAAATGATGACTTGTTAGTAATATTCTCGATTCTGAGTTTAAATGGAAAAGATCAAAAGGTTTTACATTGTTGTTTATTTTTTATTTTTTTCTAGGAAATAAAGTGTTAAGTGAATATTAAATTCTCTTCACAAATTCAGGAAGCTCATTGATTGGTATTCTGAAAGTAATTTACTGCCTGCATTACCAATTACCCTGTAAAAATTGTAGCAGGTGCACAGCACTTGAATTTT